CTTCCCCCTCCCCTTCCACCACAACAGGCTTATCAGCTGGATGCAGCTCTCCACGCTGCCAGGCTGCACTCCCATGCATGTTGCAGCTGTGTCATGCAGGGGGCATTTATCAGCCACATTATCGGCTGCATCAGGCAAAAAAAGATGATTTCCGATATTGTCAATTTTCTTTATATTGGTGCCGATCCGATATTGGACCGACGTATCGGTGAACCTCTAGTTGAAGCGTTGACTAGATGCCATGAGTTAAATACAGAACATTGATATTGTAAGACATGAATAAATATTTGTGGCAAGTACAAGAGAAATGTTTGGGGGACTTGGGACATACTCAAGTGTGATATATTCGAGTATTGTTGTGTGTTTGTGGACTTTAATTTTCATTTTCTTCATGGTTTTTAAATGCAGATATTTTTCCCCAAATAGGAACATCATAAAAGATCAATACCTAAGGATACCTGGAACCTTCTTTTAGACTTCAGTACAATGATAGCAGATGATATGTCTAATTATGATGAGGAAGGTAATGTTTCTTTTTTGTGTTACCAGTTTCTTAATGTGTAACTATACGGTTCACTTAGCACTGTTTTTGGTGTATTGTACCTACCCAGCGACAGGTAATTAGTGTCCTCCCTATGGCACGATGACTTGTCCTGGGGTTGATGGGTTTCTTTGACAGTCCTTTACAGCCCTGAAACCATGCGCATTTAAAAAGAGAAAAGTATAAACTGGCACCTTTTTTATTCTTTCCTGGCAACCTACAAGAATCACCTCTTCCCTCCACAAAACAAATAGGCTGCTTGCAGATGTGAAAACCTCTCTGCCCCAAACACCACCAAAAAAAAACCAAACCAAAAAAACCCCCCAAAAAACAAACAAACCAAAACCCAAACTTGCTATACCGGAAGAAGCAGCACCTTGGTTCGACCTGGTTCTGCATCATCTGTATGGATTGAGCCCTTCAGCAGGGTGTTTTGCTGCTTTTGTCTAAAGCTGATTCAATCAGCTATTAGGTAAAAGTGCCCAAAAAGCCTCACTAAAATACCTGATCTATACAGATGCTGCAGAGCCGGGTCAGATTAACGCACTGCCCCTTCTGCGCATGCTCTGGGCTTGGCATGGGAGCAGGCTGAATTTAAAGTAAAGTGTTGTTTTCACATCTTCAAGCAGCCTAGTCTCCAACTCTGCTATTTATTTAAAAAAAAAAATCTAATACTTGCTTCCTCTAGCAAATCAGTTAGTGAGGAGCCTGTGCAAGACTCCTGCTTTTGCTGTTTCTCAGTGTAAGAATAGTTTTGAATGGTTAGCTCTGTCAGCAGTGATAGTAAAATGAGACCAGGAATACACAGGGGATGGAGTATGTACGAGGCTGTTACGTAGAACCTGTGCATCAGCGTGTGCACAGATGCCCTCTTAAGCAAACCTGCGTATTCCTTGAGTAAGGGGCTGTTCTCTCTCCTAAATGAAGCGGGTGGGTGTAGTTTGTAGGCCCCAGTTAAAGAACTCCTACCCTACAGCATCTGCAGTAACAGTTTTTTTTTTTTTGTCTTGAAATGACACGTGCTGATTTTCAGCATCTGAACACTACATGGACATGCAGTCGTTAGCTGTTACTAATTACAGTTCTTTACTCTTTCACTGTTGCTTGGTCCAGACGCCCCTTTTTATAATTCATAGAAGTCTGCAGCACCTGTTACCCTACTAGATTTCAGTTCTGGATCCTAGTTGGGGCTAGGCCTACATTAGAGGCTCCTGCTAGCACAACCGTGTGTGGATCAGAGCTGTGAGGAGTGTGACCCCTGGCTGACAGCTGTGCCAGCAGATGCCCCTAATTCAAATGCAGTTAAGATGGCAAATAGAGGCTGATATAGTGCTTTAATCACTCTAGCTTGTTTTACTGTGCAGGTGCAGCCTTGCTGGTCTAGGTGCATGTGTCACAGGAGCACTTTGCATGGTATCCTGTACCAGCAAAGAGCTGTATGTGTAACTTAGCCTCATTTAGCCAGACAAGGACAGTCTGCAGAGATTGTGTTGCCACACTCTTCTCGGGCAGATGCCCTGTTGAGTGGAAGGCGCCTTGCCCAGCTTTCCTTAGTAAGGTGGTGACATGAGACCTGAAAAATTGTGCATGTTTAATTTGAGATTTGAGGTGGGGGAGGTCTTGTTTTAGGGTGGAAACATCTTAAACTAGCTCTTCAGTCTCAAGTAACTGAATCAAACAAGGATTTTTCATCTAAAACTTAACACAGAAAACATTAAAAGGGGAAGAATTTTATTTAAGTAAAAGGTTTTTTTTTTTTTTTTGTTTGTGCGTTTGTTTGTTTTTTAAGGTATGGAACTAGTTTGGACAGATGGTGGTTTTGTAGCCCTGATTTTCTTATGTTCTGGTGTGTATGCATGTTTGTTTTTTTTTCTCTCTCTCTTTTAGGGGCATGGCCAGTTCTTATTGATGACTTTGTGGAATTTGCACGCCCTCAAATTGCTGGGACAAAAAGTACGACAGTGTAGCACTAATGGACCCTTCTAGAATGTACATAGTGTGTACAAATAAATACAATGGAAAATTGCACAGTCAATTTCTGCTGGCTGGACTGAACTGAACTGAAGTTCAATCCTCACAATAAGGGTTGAGGGTTGAGACAAACCTTTAAGGATACATCTTGGACCATATCATATTTCACTCTTCTCCTGGTGGTTTGGGCTTCTCTTCTAGTCTGGACCACTTTTGCCAGTTATAATTCCAACATTGTGGATTTAATCATTTTTGTGAACCACCCTAGTTTTATTTTCCTATCTGAGAAGCTTTATGATTATTTTGAGGTTTCTGGTTTCACATGAAGCACAATGCTGTCTTCATTGGACAACTGATGTTTGGCATCCGAATTACACAGATCAGCATCAAATATTTTTTTTAAACTCCTTAAATATACACTTTGGGCTAGTTGCAAAGACTATATTGATAGCACTTCCTACAAGAGTGATATATTTAAGTGTACTGAATCCGATATTTTTCTTTTATGGAAAATTACAGGTATTGTCTAAGTGGGGTTTGAGTAGAAACAACCAACAAAAGTGAGATTGTTATTGGGATATCTAGGTGCCTATCTGAAAGGTTTTATTGTACCTCAACTTTCTTTAAGAGCAGTTGAAGTACTACGCAACTACTGTGCACTTATAGTACCCATGTTTAATACTATAGTCAGCCTTCAGTGAGCTTCATTGAGATGAGTTGTGTGCATAATGATAGAATCTAATATTCTCTAGGTTATCTAATAAATCCAATTTCATTACAGTTTTGAGATGCTTACCTATCTGTTCAAGAAGGGTTTTTTTTTTTCTTTTCATTTCTGTAGAAATTTAAAACTTGAATATACTGAATTTGTGTCTTAATGTTTGCTGCACAATACAGTATTTTTAAATGGAGGCATTGGACTTACGGCTGCAGTAGGAGAGAACCAGTGACCCTGTGGCAAGTCTGACACGAATCTGAGTTTTGAAGCGATTGTCCTGAGACATGTAATTTAAAACTTGACAGTGTATATGTATTGCTGTTATGGACAAAGCCCATGTTCAATGACTTTTTGTTGAGCTGTTCAAGATGACAGATCACTGTGGTTGCCAAATATAGACATTTTAAAAGTAAAACTCTTCCCAAACTTAATCAGATGCAGAATATCATACTGGCTTCTTTTGTTTCCTTAAATTATTTTGTTGATCTACCACTACTTCTGTGTGCCTCATTGCGTGGAACTAAATTGGGACTGTTGTCACTTCAAAGCAGGATTTTATCTTGTTCTGTGCTTTTTACATTACAGGAGCTTCTTTCATGCTGAAAACACTCACTCTGCACCTGCTGACTTGTGAGGGAGGCTTTTGGTGGTTTTGCGACCAATACTGTTCTGTAAAAAGCAAGAAAATGTCCAACTTCAGTCTAAAAAAGTGATTATAGTCATTGGGAACAGGGGTTGAAGACTCCTGGCTGTCTGATATTCAAGTCTGAATTACTGTTGAAATTAGTAAATGGAACTTGTGCTAAAAAGAGCTGTATGGCTTTTTTTATACAGATGCAAAAAAAAAAAAAAAAAAATTTAGGAAAAGTTGAGCATTAAACTGCTTTGAAGTGGATGAGAAGGTTGCTTCCCCTCCTGACAGTGCCCTTTTTAATAAAGCCTAGTCACTCCTTTATTTCCAAATCCAGACCTACAAACAGAAAAAATATTGCAAATTTCTACTCCAGCTACCGGAATTGGCTATGCCAAAAATGTTTCTTTTTGCTGCTTTCAGTATTTCCTTCCTTAATTTTGTGTAAATACAAGCGGGGACTTGAATTATGAAGAGAACGTTACAAGGTATATATGCGTGCTGTTTTCCGTCTTGAGGGTTTGGTACAGTTTCAGATTGATTAGTTCAAGTATGCTGTGTTTTGAGATGAGAACTAATTAGCTTTTATCCCAATACAGATTTGTCTTTCACAGAAGTCTGGTATTGGTTAGTGGCATAATGCCGTGGTGTTTTAAAGAATACTCCTTTTGAATGCGAGACCTTTTCAACAAAATAGTGTTGTCATCAGTTTGGTACTATACACTTATAATTACTGTGTAATTATAAAACAAAAGTACAATACCTAACGCTTCAAATAATTATGTAGCAAGAAACTTAAAGTTATTCATGCTATAATGGCATCGTAGAATTTAACAAAATAAATGATTTGCAGTTGAAAACCAGTTTGATTTAACAGGGTATTGTTCTTTTAAGGACAGATGCCTGGTTACAGGGAACATTTTGTATTGAAAAGTGCTCAGATATGTGGCCATGTGTTTTTCCTTTATATATGTGTGTGGGGGTTTTTTTCCCCCTCTTTTTATTCATTTTTATTTGTCCTGCTGTGTTTAAT